ATCAATAAATTATTAATAATTTATTGATTCTCCCTAATTCCTCTTTTTCATCTTTTAAATGTACCTTTCTCAAATAGCCTACCACTTATATACATTCAGAAATTTTTCCAGTTTTGTGGACATTCACACAAAGACAGGTTACTAGTCAGGTGGATATAATTACACAGAAAACTGCATTTGACCATAAAAAAATCTTTTTCGGGGGTAAGAAGGGTTTCAATATTGCATCAATTAATGATGACCGCATTAATTTGTATTTGAATTATCACTCAGAGGGTCATTTAATGCATGTATTGCTATGTCTTTGGAAGGCTTTTGTCTTTCAAACACATTAAAATACACATATTCATGTTATTTCTTATTTAGCCTACATGTAATGCAGGCATTCCCAAACTGTTTTGTCATCTGAACCTCTTTTACCTAATATATTTACTTGAAGTACCCCTGAGATCATTTTGATAATTTAATAACACATTTGCATGTTCACGGTTCTCTGACGTTGGTTGATGGTCACGTGACATGCAGGTAAACAAATAAAATATTTCATTTTTTTAGTACGTGTTTTATTTTGATTGATGATATTTTACAATTATTTGTTTTAATTTAACATTTTTATGATTTCATTAATTATTGGCTTTTCATTAAACTCACGAACCTCAGCAGTTTGGGAAACCTCAACGTAATGTAATGTTTAATGCACTTCATTATGTTAATAACAAGAAATGTAATATCTTTTCTTTTTATTTGCATTTTTATATCAATATGGTGCAAGATTATCCTATTTAAATCAATATGATAAACGAGTTAGGTCAAAAGTAATCTAAAAGTAATCAAAAAGTAATCTGATTATATTACCTATATGTGTAATGTAATGGATTACGTTACTAACTACAATTGTAATTTGGAATCAGTAACAGACTACAATTTGTAATCTACCCAGCTCTGTTAATACAATTTATGATTATCAAGACGCCACATGCAATTTTACACACATAAAAAAAAAATACTTGTTTTAAAACTAAAAGTATTAACCTTATAAAATACTGTGAAAAGTACTATTATATTAATCAAGGCCAAACATATATGTTTACAGTAACAAGTATAGCCTAATTTATACAAGCATCCCTATAAGTAAAACCCTTTAGGGCATTCCCAGAAATGTTTGCTTACATTTCGTTTTATAGTTAGCTTATATTTATTATCAGTATTATCAATTATGTTTACTGGATTTATTTATTTAGCATTTGCTATGCTACACTCTAAAAAGTGCTGGGTTAAATACAACCCAGTGCTGGGTAAAATAGGGACAAACCCAGCAATCGGGCTGTTTTGACCCAGCGGTTGGGTTACTACCCAGAAGGATGGGTTAAACATTTAACCCAACCGCTGGGTCAAAACAGCCCAATTGCTGGGTTTGTCTCTATTTTACCCAGCACTGGGTTGTATTTAACCCAGCATTTTTTAGAGTGTATGTTTATACTATTATTTTAGTTTCATTTGTGTTTGGGTAATGCTCCAGTGTAGATCTGATCAGATTATAATGGCTGACAGAGCTTAACTGTTATAAAACTGTATGCAAAATATACAGTTACAAAATGCTATGCTATGCTCACTGTACACTCTAAAAAATGCTGGGTTAAATAGGGACAAACCCAGCAATTGGGTTGTTTTGACCCAGCGGTTTGGTTAAATGTTTAACCCAACCTTCTGGGTAGTAACCCAACCGCTGGGTCAAAACAACCCAATTGCTGGGGTTGTCCCTATTTTACCCAGCACTGGATTGTATTTAACCCAGCATTTTTTAGAGTGTATTTCTTACAGTAACGTTCTGGCATATCGTTATATTGATATGGCACGTTAACTGTAAACAAACCATCTATATGGAAACTCGTCCCAGAAATGAATGTAGGCCTTAAATTTAGTCCACGTGGAGCGCGTCATGAGGCGTTATAAAAGAGTTCACACTAAAGCCATATTTTGGTCATGGCATCAAACACATCACGTGGACATTTCCAAACGCATGTAAAAAAGCGCAGCCCGAGGCGCTACAGATCCGCTTTGCTGAGCTCAGATGAGATGCTGCTGATGCTGCGCTGCCCTGCGTGAGCTCTGAAAAACACGGGCTCCTGCTGAGTCATGGCTTGCGGTGGGCCATTACTGAAGTACAGACACCATGAGATAGACTATATGACAAGTGAGGCATTACAGCATGAAATAGCCGCTCATAGTAGCCTATTTCCAGAAGGAGAGGAAGCAGACGTGTAGGAGTGGCAATGATTGCTGCGGCTTTTTTGGTCTTATTGAGACCCTTAAGTATCCAGTATGTATTATTGCTATTATTGCTTTTGGTAGGAACTGTCGCCACGATCCTGTTTCTCAGTTCCTGGCATCGGAAGCTCCGTAATGAGAAAATTCCCATAAAATCTGTGCTCACAAGGCGTTCGAGGAGTCGTGGTGAGTAGCTAGAGACGGACGCGTCGCATCATGTCCACCCTATAAATGTGTTTCTGTAGGATGTCATTGCGATAGCATGCACGCTGCATGTACAACGACAGATTTAGTAGACATTTTCATTCCTTCTTGTCTTCGTGTGGGTTAAAAACGACATGGTCATCAAAGCGCGTGGGTGCCGTCGTTTTTCATCGTTTGTTCTCGTTGTGTGTTTAATAAAGTGTTCTGTATTTCAAGACCAGACAAAGTTATTTGAAGAGCATCTCTAAGACACAATATGACTGAACGCATGTGGGGTTTGTTTCAATCATTCCCATTTGTTCTAGAAGCTGGTTTCCGGCCGCATCATTTTCGCTCTGAGGTAAATCCCTTTCTCTTGCTCTGTCTGTCAAGGTCATAAAAGGGTAGAGCAAAGCATCCAAAATAATGCTGTGTTTTGTTTGACAGTTATTTATAGGTACTCTCATGTTGGTGAAGAAATAGTATCCTAAGCAACTGCGTGAAATGCGCATTGCGCATGTGTGACTGATAAATAATTCAGAAAAGGCTACTTTTACATAAATATTACATGCTACCTAGAAGTAAATGGAAACAACAAAAGCTAGACAGAGGTGGCGATTGTTTATATTTTAGGATAGGGAAAATTGCAGTCATTTGTAGCACTTAACAGTTCTTGCTCTGCGATGACGTTGTGCTCATTGTCTGGCAGGTATGTCGTCACAGTCCACGTCATGCGAGGAGAAGCGCACGCGCGCGTGTTTCTGAAGAGAAGCCGCTCATTGAGAGCGAGCCGGACTCGAGCGCGGCCTTGAGGAAGCGCAGAGTGAAGAAGAGAGTCCAGCCCGAGTTTTATCACTCCGTGCAGCTCACGCCAACACGCAAACCAGTAGGTATATCCCGATCTACAAGGCATTTCCTCGCAGTCCACTCTTAAAAATGAAGCTTCTTTAGTGGTTCCATAAAGAGTTCCGTTAGAACCTTTCAATGCACAAAAGGTTCTCTATAGTGGAAAAGGGTTCTTGAAATGCAGGGCCGTTTCTAGCCAATTTGACGCCCTAGGCGAAATCCCTATTGCCCCCCCCCAGAATTATTTATATATATATATAATTCTTTTCAGACACCAGTTGCTTGTCACACATCGTCAGATTGACAGTACTCTAGCCCAATAATGTTGGGGGATCCAGTGGGGTCATATTTCAGGGTGACCGTGCCACTCTTTATCACAACCCTGCTAAAAGTGCCAGTACGTGCGCTCATTGGCGCCCCTTCAGCTGGTGGCGCCCTAGGCGACCGCCTAGCTCGCCTATGCCTAGAAACGGCCCTGTTGAAATGTTTAGAACGTTCTTCACAGTAAGAAAAAACAATGGTTCTTCTAAGAACCATTCACTGAAAGGTTCTTTGGGGAACTTTGGGAACTGCATTGCTATGACATCCCACCTTTAAGAGTGTATGTGTACCTTGACCTGTAGCTATAGACCACTAACTTATTACAGCGCTAATGCTAAAGATATCTGAGTTAAAAAAAAAGAAAAGGCTAAGGTATAAGCTAGTCAACATTAAATAAAAATCAACCTTATTAATTTTCTTACAACTGTTTTTATTATGTATGATTCATCAACATGTTTATCATGTCGGGGTGAAGTCGTGGCCTAATGGTTAGAGTCTGACTCGTAACCCAAAGGTTGCGGGTTCGAGTCTCGTACTCGCAGGGATTGTAGGTGGGGGGAGTGAATGTACAGCACTCTCTCCCACCTTCAATACCACGACTGAGGTCCCTTGAGCAAAGCACCGAACCCCCAACTGCTCCCCGGGCGCCGCAGCAAAAATGGCTGCCCACTGCTCCGGGTGTGTGTTCACGGTGTGTGTGTGTTCACTGCTGTGTGTGTGCACTTTGGATGGGATAAATGCAGAGCACAAATTCCGAGTATGGGTCACCATACTTGGCCACATGTCACGTCACTTTATCATTACAACAACTTTTCCCCCCCCACGATCTTTCATCAAAATATCTGGCTGTGCCTCTGCACCATATCCGCAACAATTTTCATTTTTGGTTGCCCTTACAAAGCTATTTTTTCAATCCCTCCCTCCAATCACCATCCAAAAATGACAGAAAACCAATATTAAACTGCATTTCATTTGCTCACAAATACATGACATTCCAGAAGTGGGCTGGTGTTTCATATTGATTTTAAGTTGCTAAGTCAGTTTGTGTTTCTCAGTCAGTCATTGATAAACTCCTCACTGTTTGAGCAACAGTTGCAATGGTTACTCAAATGGTACTTTTAATATGTAAAACCTGCAAACTCGAAAGTGCATCTTATGTTCAGTCTTATTGATGGCGATTCTCCATTATAACCAAGATATCTTTTAAAATATGGACTCTTTTTCCTGTTTTAACGTGTCAAATTATAAAGACCATTTTTGCATTGTCAGTCATGTCTCATTTGTGCCACCATAACATTTTTTACCAAAAAATTAATAAAATCAATGTACACTAACTTGAAGTTATAATATCACAGAGTTGACATCATTATTAAAATCTAGATTGTCTGCTTTTCCTTGCATGATCTTTAAGTACTGACACATAATGTTTAGGATATATAGCAGATTTTAAACCACTCTGTAATTTCATATATGTGGAAATTATAGGAACATAATGCAGAAAAACACTTAAATGATTCAAACAGTAGAAACATGGGAGCTGTTAGCTTTAGACCGACAGGACTCGGCCCTTTGTAAGTGATATTTATACTCAGAATAACAGGATGTGGATGAGAGTGATTTTGCATACGTGGGTTCGGCATGCTACTCATTTCATCTTCCTTCCTTCGGAATAGGCCCTTCCTTTTAAACCGCTATACTGCATAATTGCTAGTGAACAGTGTCCATCTCAACTTTGTTGTGCACTCTTTGTTTGATCGATAACGGCATCTCACTGCAGTGGTGAGAGAGGCATTGAGATTGTCTGAGCATTTTCTAAAAAAATCCCAGAAATAAGTGTACTGTAAAGCTGCTTCCGATGTTATTACCTTACAACAGAACTCGATTTTTGTTGTTGGAGGCACAATCAATAATAGTACAACAGAATGCAATACTGTGTAGTACATAATGTATATACTGCATGACTTTTTTACATGTGTCATTCACAGAAATTTGGTGTAGGATTTACGTTGGAGCAATTTTCACTCAGAAATTGCTTGTAAATTTCACAAATCACAAAGAAATGGCACGTAACACATTGAATTAAATGTGAAAGACCGAAACCGTATTTTCTTGTACAACAATAGTAATCTGTTTTATTTACAACTTTGAAAAATGTCCAAAAAGTTGTAAATTATGAAACATTTTTTTTTATTTAATCCTGGAAATATACAGAACGTGTTAGCATTTAGAAAATATTTCAAGTATGATGTAAAATTTCTAGCTTTCTTCGTGTACATCAGATGTTCTTTGAAACAAATTTAAATCATGCTGGAGAAGATGATGCTCAGGTTTTGCTCTACTTGTGAAGTTCATGCCAGCTAGTCTTGTTCTCAAAGAGAAGCATATTCACTAGTGGTGTCAGACTTATGCACACCGAAGTCATAAATAATTTGCTTTTGAGTATATTAAATCTTTGTAATGTCCTACAACCTGCCACAACTCGACTGCAGTTCATGGTGATTATTGCAGAACCCTGATAATAGGTTTGGTCAGATTCAGTGTGTTATCTAAATATCACATACTTGCTGAAAAATCACATACGTAATGTGTATTACACACACACACACACACACACATGTTGTGTTTCCATGTTTTATGGGGACATTCCATAGGCGTAATGGTTTTTATACTGTACAAACTGTATGTGCTATTGCCCTACACCAACCCTACCCCTAAACCTACCCCTTACAGGAAACTTTCTGCATTTTTACTTTATCAAAAAAACTCATTCTGTATGATTTATAAGCTTGTTTCCTCATGGGGACCTCAAAAATGTCCCCACAAGGTCACACACACACACACACACACACACACACACACATAAATATAATGAAAGTAGTCTGACTTTATGCTACTTTGATTTGAATGTCACATACAGTGACAGATTATCTATGTAAGTTCTCTGCAAAAACATCTTTCATCTTTAATATTGATATTAATTTACCCTGATGAAAGGCACAAACCTTATATGAAAATTAGACACTGTGCGTTTTTTAATGGAATCCAGAACATTGTAGTATGTGTGTATGTCTGGACACTTGCTGAAACAGTTCATACAGAAATTGGTTGCCATGCATAATGTATAACTGAAGTATTACAGTGCTTCTTCAGTGAATAATCAAGCAGTACATTTTTGTAAATCTGGAAACATGTAAACAAGCATATCAGTACTGTATAGTTTTTAATATTTTATACATTTAATATTTTGTGTATTGCGTTTCTTTTTCCAATCCCCGCTGGAGCACATGCTGTCTGACTAACAGAGCTCACAAGACCAGTGACAGCTTGCCTCGCAGCTGTTACCTCACATTCATGCTTTGACATGGTTGTCATACTTAAAAGTTCAGGATTGAGGGGATCAGGGAGAGCCGGCAGACTTTTGACTTGCTATTTTTTTAATCATTATTTATTTTTTTTTAAACAACTTAATGTCTTGACTACTCAACAAAAGATACAGTTCAACACATTACATTATTAAACAAGATATATTTAACACACACACACACACACACACACACACACACACACACAATAACATTTACTCCTGCATTTTGCAATATGAATAGTACATTTTCACATCTTCTTTACCTTTTTTATTTACAGTGATTTCAGAAGAAATCAGTACCTTCTTAATGTGAAATACTTTCAAGGAATAAAAAGCTGTGTTCCTCTATTTATCTGTATTTAAAATGTATTATATGTTATTTAATGGCTTTCAAGAACATAATTCACAAAAGATCAAAAATGGAGAAGGCAACATACAAAAAAAGACAAAAAAACTTAAAAATAAAGATGATTTATTGGCTTTGATGGTTCCACCAAGACAAGGCAAGGCAAGGCAAGTTTATTTATATAGCACATTTCATACACAATGGTAATTCAAAGTGCTTTACATAAAAGAAAAAAAATAATAATAACAACAATAAAACAAGTAATTTAAAAACTTGGAAAATGATAAAAAAAATGATCAACAGAGTCTGCAGAAATGCTTGGTGTTAAAGATATAGCCGAAGAACATTTAACATCCATAGAACTTTCCAAAATGCACAAAAGTTTCTTTAAAGAGGAAGAAGGTTCTTCAGATTATTAAAAAACTCTTCACACTAAGAAAAAAAAAAGGTTCTTCTAGGCCATCACCACTGTGAAAACTCCCTTTTGAAAACTTTATTTTTAAGAGTGTATAAAACAACTCGTCCTGGTCTCAGAATATATTGTTCCAGGACACCAATATATTGAAGTTTTGCTGCATAAATACATTTTTGGGAATTATCATTAAAGGGATATAAATAGTTGTAGAATTTTAAATTGCTTCAGAATTTCTTCTTTTGTGTTCCACAGGAAAACTATCTTGAGATTCCTATTGACATGGGTCTTAGTATCCTAAATAATGACAGACTTTTTTTTGTTTTTTTTTGCTATATAAGGCATTGTTGAAAGATATGTATTACTGGTCACTGGTGATTTTGTTCAAGCTAGTTGGAAACAGCAGTTGAGAAAGTGAAAGAGCAGTAAGCCACTGAACTCGTGAGGATGCGCTGAGGGTGAAGGCAGCAGCAGTGAATGCGCTCCAGGGATGGCGCTGTAGCACCACAGCATACGCTCCGAGATTCCGCTCACCGAAGCTTCCTGGCTCCTGTCCCTGGTTCTAGTCTGCGCGTGTCAGTGGATGGTGACGCCGTGGGTTTGTATGCTGCTCTCTCTCTCTCTCTGGGGGATTTCGCACCATTTAATGCTTTGGATAAAACCGGGCGACACGCGACGGAATAACCGCCACAAGGGTGTGGTTCTATCCAAAATGACATCGCCGAATGTAGATGACAAGTGGAAGTAGGATCTCTGCGCATCCTTTAGAGATGTACACAGCGGTGAGTGCTGCCTTGTCCTGGCGGGGGAGCCACATGCGATTCATCCTGATGGGGGTTTTGTTTTATTGTCGACCTCTGATCATTTGAGTCTTAGTTGCAAAGAGCAGATGTGTCTTTTAATCTCGGTCTGTTGTGCGCGCAGTGATGGTGAGATCGCTCGCAGCGCTGTTTTTATTTGCGCTCCTGTGCTGAATTCGCGATTCATTGTCTTTCTATTGTCTCTTCACACAGAGCTCCGGGTCTGGGAACGCGTCCCTGCGCTGTTCTATGTCTTCATCGGCAGATTTCTCCGATGAGGAAGAGTACAGTGTGAAATCTGGGTCGGTGTCGCCGGCACCGGGGGACACGTTACCGTGGAATTTACCCAGACACGAGCGCTCGAAGCGGAAGATCCAGGGAGGATCCGTGCTGGATCCTGCCGAGAGAGCGGTGCTCAGAATCGCAGGTAGGAACCCAAAATCTCCCAGTCTTACTGCACCCATGCACGTCCATTCATTAGGCTCTTACAGAGAAAACGATGAGGCCTGTTGTTTGCTATTTGATCAAGTAGCAGTCAGTGAACTACACGTGTAAATACAGAGTTGGATAAATAATAAACGACGGCGAATTAACTTTGGGGTAATTTGGGTTTTAAGAAATGGTTAAGTTTTAAAAAAGGCATCGGAACTTGAGTTGACTACAAGGGTGGTCCTGATCACGTGCTTTAAATGTCTCGCACTGGAAACACCTGATCCTTACATCATTGTCATCATAATAAGAAAAAGAATAAGCTTAAAGTTTCTTCTGATGCACTGTGAAACTGTTTTGGTAGCTGGAAGTCAGTGTTGTTTTTAAAAGCTCAAGGCTGAAAGATGAATCAGCAATCTGTAATGTGCATGTTGTCCTGCTCTGGAATGAGAGGACATTCCTTCTCAGGATTCTGTAACATTATTACATATTCAACATGAGATTCAGATGGCAATATTACATGCCATAATAATATGTCATAATATATATATATATATTAGCCTATATACACACTCAGAAAAAAAGGTACAAAAGCTGTCACTGGGGCAGAACCATTTCAAAAGGTACACTTTTGTACCATATTTACCTCTAAAAGATGCATATTAGTATCTTAAAGCTACATATTAATACATAAAGTATAAGTATAAAATGGTACATAGGCCTATTAGTACCTTTTGAAAGGGTACCGGCCCACTGACAGATTTTGTACCTTTTTTTTCTGAGTGCACAAACAGCCTCTGTTCATCATTTGGCAGTGGCATGATATCTATTTCTATAATAAATATATCTTTAATGGTTTTATAGAATAATAATAATATAAACACATTCTACAGGCTTTATCCTACAAATATAGCAATACAACTTGCATTGTAAAAAAAAAAACGAAAAAGAAATGAATATAAGGCATTAGTATTATAAAAGCTGAGGTTGATCGGCATCTGCTTGAGAAGGTGTTGTTCTGTAAATGAGAGTTGAGTTGAGTTGGTCGAGCGCAGCGCCATCATGTTCCCGTTGCAAACGCGAATCTTCCGGTTTTAGGACCTTGGAGAGCACGCGCGCCTCGCTTGTGTCACGGACACACGGCAGCCAGTGACCACCAGCCTGAGCCTCTAAAATAGAGGATGACTGTGCATGACACATTCTCCCCTTTATGTAGTCGGACATTTGAGATATCTAGCATTCCAGACGAATGCTGACCCCACGTGAACACATGAACAGAGTAGCAGCACTAAACTAAGCACGCAAAGCGTCATGTTGTGAAAACTGGTATTATTTTCAAGAACCTTATTGGGGTTGCTGGAACGACAGTCACTGATAACCACAGCCCGTCCTCACCGGCACACGGCCGAGATTCACGGTTGAAGCGGCAGAGGAAGTCCCGCTCATTGGCCGGTTGGCGGATCTGGGAGGGGAGGCAAGCAGGGGCGTTGCCGGTCAGGCAGGCAGGCACTCGGGCAGGGCTTCAGTTCGCTGGCGCGTTTAGTAAATGACCAGCCTCAACCGCCCCGCCAATGGCCCGTTACGGACCGGCTCCGTATATGCTCGCCGACGAATTGGAGTATCTCCAGGCGTACGAGGACGTGCTTGAGAAATATAAAGGTAAAGAATGAACCGAAGATTAGAAAAGGAGCGGCAGCGAGACGGTTAACGGTGTCAGAACATCAGCGTGATTCATACTTACAATAATTCATACATTGTTTCATTGTTTACTGAATAGAAACCGTTTACTTGGTAGCAGATTTGCTGACCCGGTATGAAAAATAGTTGATTAACTCGTTACAGTTTAATAAAAGACAAAACCCTTTTATTTCTGTCTGTCTGTCTGTCTGTCTGACAGATAGTGTAGAAATATTGTTCTGTTTGTGTGTTCAGGTAATTGTATTAGATGTTTGTAATATAAGCCCATTGTGTAATTCTGATTTGATTGGTAGCTTACATCAGTCTGTTGTGACCCATCCATCCTGACCGCTCGAAATGCATCTCCCCCTCATGCACTTAAGGTGATGATACACTGGGTGACTTTTTCTTTTCTTTTTGTCAGCATCATCCTGCCAGTCAACCTCTGCTACATGCATTTCTAAGGAAATATACACTCTAAAAAATGCTGGGTTAAATACAACCCAGTGCTGGGTAAAATAGGGACAACCCCAGCAATTGGGCTGTTTTGACCCAGCGGTTGGGTTACTACCCAGAAGGATGGGTTAAACATTTAACCCAACCGCTGGGTCAAAACAACCCAATTGCTGGGGTTGTCCCTATTTTACCCAGCACTGGGTTGTATTTAACCCAGCATTTTTAGAGTGTACAAATGCACTCGTGCACAGAAATTTTTTTTTTCCCCCACTGACTGAATGTTGAGCATTCACATGAAGCTGATGTGTTGTTTTTGGTCATTTGTAGCTCAAGCAGAGCAGCAGAGTGTCTAACAGTCAGCTGTGGAAAAGCTCAACAGTGTGTGTGTGTGTGTGTGTGTGTGTGTGTGTGTGTGTGTGTGAGGCTGCTGCAGTCATATGATGTAGGCTCATTCTGATTCTGTGATTTTTGCTTTCTGGAGGCAGTAAGCTTGATAAATAAGTTCTTATCTTTATTATCTTGTTTATTTTCTACAGTGCATACTACAGTTCTGTTAACATTTAATTGCATATGAAACCATGGTGACAAAACAGTTGTTATTTATCAGAAGCCATGTGTTTATGATTGTTTTGAAAAATGATGTTTAAATTGCTTTAGTGGGTTGAGGCAAACAGCACCCAAACATTCCTGATTTTCTGGAATTTGTCTAGGTGTAGGCCACGTCTTATGAATGATTCCACAGTCAGTTGCATGAAACAAAAACCCAAGAAAGACATTTAATCATTTTATTTATATGCAGCATTTTAACAATGCTTCGTTATGAACAATATGCAATATTTATCAAAAAATTGTTTTAATAAAACATACTATATAATGCATGAAAAATGCTCTGCGGGAACTTTTCTGAGTTATGATGGAAATAAATTGCTTTTTGAATTGATTCATTAAAATTGACCGTTTGAACTGATTCACAGAAATGAATCATTTTCTACTGAAGTTTAAAACCTTATATTTCTCTCACTGTGAGTCACAACACAAGTCATCACATCAAAACCAGTGTGATATTCTCAATGTGTTGTGAATATTCAATATAGAGCTGCGTCATGTGCTTTAGTTTATGTCACATCTGAGGTTATCATTGAAGTATGTGTTTTCAGCACACTCTGAAAGGAGTCTTTCATAAGAAATCTTTTTGCTTTAAAGGAGATTAACAAGAAATCTACACAAAGTCTTGAGTTTAGAGAACAATTCAGAGAGTTTAGAGTCAAGAATTGATTAACTTCAGATATACATTAAAGATAAGCATTTCCTTTGAATGAAACACTGTGCTTTATTCTTTGTTGAATAAGTTAATGACACCTACTGCCTCATATTGAATCCAGTTTTAGTTCTTCCTGTAAGAATGACTTTTAACCCATGTGACCACTGGAAACCGTGATGCTCTGAATGTCCTTCCTCTGCAATCATCACCAGGATATTCCATGCTTAAAAATATGAAGTGAGTTCACTTTTTATAAAGTACAAATCCATGTATAAAAGTCATCGATGTCTATTGTGCTCTTTTACTCTGATTGTCAGTAGTCTATTCAGGCAGTTTGGAGCTCTCTAGAGCAGTGTTTCCCAACCGGGGTGCCGTCTGTCGAGAGCAGGGTTGCCGTGTAAAAAATCCTTTTTTAATATTTTTAAATTGCTAAAATGTTCAAAAAAGCATTTATTATATAATATCCATTTCTGATGTCGCCAATAATTAGAGATGCACTGAAATTCCGGCTGCCGAAAATTAGTTCACGAGCTGTTCTCAGAACAAAAGCTCTTCACATAGACGTCTGCCTCTTTCTTTCTCGAATGCTAAATGTCTCTCTATAGCCCTATAGTGCAGATTCATGCTGAATGTATGTTATGCAGGACTGAGTGGGTTGGAAGGGCTCAGTGTTGGGGAAGATGCATCAAAACTGTTGATTGTCAAACTACACTCTAAAAAATGCTGGGTTGTTTCAACCCAACTTTGGGTCAAATATGGACTAACCCAACTTTTGG